TTGCACAAGAGTTGTGGGATAATGTTAGTCAGATGTATTCTGACCTAGGAAACCAATCTCAAGTTTTCGAATTAACTTTGAAGTTGGGAGAGATTCGTCAAGGAGATGATTCCGTCACCAAATATTTCAATTCGTTGAAAAGGTTGTGGCAGGATCTTGACATCTTCAACATATACGAATGGAAATCGGTTGACGACTGCAACCACCACAAGAAAACTGTGGAAGACAGCCGTATTTACAAGTTTCTTGCCGGCCTCAACATTGAGTTCGTTGAAGTGCGAGGAAGAATTATTGGCAGACCTCCTCTCCCATCCATTGGCAAAGTATTTGCCGAAGTCAGAAGGGAAGAGAGCCGAAGGAGCGTCATGCTTAAGAAAAAAGGTACAGGTGAATCAATTGAAATTTCTGCTTTAATTAGCGATGCTGCGGCCAACAAGGCTGCAAATTACCAGCGCAGGTTTGATGATAAGCCACGGGTCTGGTGTGATTTTTGCAACAAGCCTCGCCATACACGCGAAACGTGTTGGAAGAACCATGGCAAACCTGTCAACTGGAAAAGCAGCAAACAAGGAGAGAAGAATCGTGGCTTTCCTACCGCTAATGAAGCCGATTCAGGTCCCTTCAACAAAGAGCAGATTGATCAACTCTTAAAGCTGATAAAATCCAACTCCTCAACCGGTACTCCTAGTGTTTTGTTGGCACAAACAGATAGAAATCCTAAAGCCTTCTCTTGCCTAAACTTCTCTCCGTGGATCATAGATTCCGGTGCCTCCGATCACATGACTAGTTTTTCCCATTTATTTAGTACCTATTTCCCTTGTTCTGGTCATGACAAAATCAGAATAGCCGATGGTAGTTTTTCACCTATTGCAGGAAAATGATTTATTAAACTAACTGAGAAAATTAATCTCAATGCTGTTCTTCACGTCCCCAACTTAGCCTGTAATCTTTTGTCTGTCAGTAAACTATCTAAGGATTCTAATTGTCGTGTTACATTTTTTGAATCCCATTGTGAATTTCAGGACCAGAACTCGGGGATGATGATTGGGCGTGCTAGGATGCTTGAAGGTCTTTACTACTTTGATGAAGTACCTGTTAGTAATAAAAAAGCTCAGAGCTTTAATAGTACTAGTTCAATCTCTGTTCGAGAAAAAATAATGCTATGGCACTATAGGCTAGGACATCCTAGTTTTCTTTATCTGAAACATTTATTTCCAGAATTATTTAAAGGGATTGATTGTTCTTCTTTTCATTGTGAAAGTTGCATTTTTGCAAAATTTCATCGCTCTACTTATTTGCCAAAACCTTACCAGGCTTCCAAACCTTTTTATTTGATTCATAGTGATGTTTGGGGCCCTTCTAAAATCACTACTCTTTCTGGTAAAAGATGGTTTGTTACATTTATTGATGACCATACCTGCTTATGTTGGATTTATTTGATGAATAAAAATCTGACGTGAAAAATTTATTCACAAATTTTTACAATATGATTGAAAACCAATTTCAAACCAAAATTGGTATTTTACATTCTGATAATGGAACAGAATATTTCAATGAGCAGTTGGGTGAGTTTTTGGAAAAAAAAGGGATTTTTCATCAATCTACATGTCGGGATACCCCTCAACAAAATGGCATTGCAGAACGAAAAAATAAACATCTACTTGAAGTTGCACGTGCTATAATGTTTTACATGCATGTTCCTAAATATTTATGGGGTGAAGCAATTTTAACAGCCTCTTATTTGATAAATAGGATGCCTACAAAGGTGTTAACATACAAAACACCTTTCGATTGTCTCAAAGCTTTTTTTCCTGACACGAGGTTGTTTTCTGATTTACCCGCCAAAGTTTTTGGATGTACTGCCTATGTTCATGTTCCTAGTCAATTTCGTTCAAAACTTGACCCCCGTGCTATAAAATGTGTTTTTTTGGGTTATTCCTCAAACAAAAAGGGGTATAAGTGTTTCGATCCTCAAACCAAGAAAAAGGGGGATGTGTCATTTGTTGAAACAAAATCCTATTTCCCCAACACTTCTCTTTAGGGGGAGACAAGTGGAGTAGAAGACCGTTTTTGCGATATTTCTATCCCGCTCCCCAATGTCATTTATCCTACACAAAAACCACATCTGTCTGATAATGATTACTTAGGAGAACCAAGTTCTATGGTGCCTAGTCAAGAAGATTCTTGTTTAGGAGGAGAAGTACTACAAAATTATCTAAATCCTGAGCTTCAGGTTTATACTAGAAAGCGATTTCATCTGAGGAATAATGACCCGAATGTCCATCCTAATGACCCGAATGTCCACCCGAGTTCTGGCATCGAAATTTTAGGTAATCCTATTCCTTCTATTTCTGACCTTGATGTTCCTATAGCAATTAGGAAAGGTGTCCGAAATTGCATTAAACATCCTATTGCAAATTACCTCTCCTATCAAAGATTGTCTAAAAACCATAGAGCTTTCACATCTAGGATTTCACACTTGTTTGTTCCAAGGAATATACAGGAAGCATTGGATGATCCGAATTGGAAATTAGCAGTCATGGAGGAGATGAATGCTTTAAGGAGAAGTGGTACTTGGGAGATAGTTGATCTACCCAAAGACAAGAAAACAGTTGGGTGTAAATGGGTGTTTACGATAAAATGTAACGCAGATGGAAGCGTTGAGAGATACAAGGCGATACTGGTGGCTAAAGGCTTCACTCAAACTTATGGGATCGACTATCAGGAGACGTTTGCTCCTGTTGCTAAAATAAATTCCATCAGAGTACTGTTATCTCTTGCAGTAAATTCAGATTGGCCTCTACATCAACTTGACATTAAAAATGCATTTCTCAATGGTGATCTTGAAGAGGAGGTGTTCATGAGCCTACCGTCGGGATTTGAGCAGAGACTTGGAAGTGACAGAGTATGCAGATTGAACAAGTCATTATACGGACTCAAACAATCACCAAGAGCGTGGTTTGAACGCTTTGGGAAGGCAGTTATCAGTTGTGGCTTCTCGCAGAGTCAAGCAGATCACACAATATTTTATAAACATTCAAAAAACAGTAAAATTGCAATTTTGATTGTTTATGTTGATGACATCATTTTAACTGGTAATGATGAAGCAGAGTTAGCAGCCCTCAAAGAGAAACTCGCAAAAGAATTTCACATTAAGGATCTGGGAGCCCTTAAGTATTTCCTCGGAATGGAATTTGCAAGATCCAAGGAAGGTATATTCGTTAATCAGAGAAAATATGTTCTTGATCTCCTTGGAGAAACAGGTATGCTTGGTTGTACGATGGTGGAGACTCCGATCGAGCCTAACTTGAAGTTACAAGCTGCTAAGGCTGAAGAAGTCAAAGAGAGGGAACAATATCAGCGACTTGTCGGGAAATTGATTTACTTGTCTCATGCGCGGCCTGATATTGCCTTTGCAGTCAGCATGGTAAGTCAGTTCATGCACTCACCAGGGGCAGAGCATTTTGAGGCCGTTTATAAGATCTTAAGATATTTGAAAGGAACTCCAGGGAGAGGCTTACTGTTCAAGAAACATGGGCATCTTCAAGTTGAAGTATACACAGATGCAGACTGGGCAGGAAGTGTTACAGACAGGAGATCAACATCCGGATACTGCTCCTTTGTAGGTGGGAACCTAGTTACATGGCGGAGTAAAAAACAGAATGTGGTAGCTAGGAGTAGTACAGAAGCAGAGTTCAGAGCTGTTGCCCATGGAATCTGTGAAGTAATGTGGATTAAAAGAATTCTCGAAAAATTAAAGCTTTCTCACCCGACACCTATGAAGGTCTATTGTGACAACAAAGCAGCTATATCTATAACTCATAATCCAGTTCTACATGATCGCACAAAACATATAGAAGTGGATAAACATTTCATCAAGGAGAAAATCAATGCTGGCATAATCTGTATGACCTACCTGTTAGAAGTGTTAGGATTTTTCCCATTTTATTCTCATTCAGTCTGTAGTGGGCCTTTATTTAGGCCTTAACTTATATTTATGATTTAATATAAAAGGGTATGATTAACCACTCATACCCTAACCTTTTTTTCTCTTCTAAAATTAACATGGTATCAGAGCAGACCTAGAAGGAGAAGAAAAAAAAAACAAAACAAAACAAAACAAACAAAACCAGTCGACGGCAACTAGGGTTCCGGCAGCCACAGCATCACCACCCCAGCCTGCAAGCCTCCGGCGAAGCCACCTAGGGTTCCGACAGCCCCAGTCGACGGCAACTAGGGTTCCGACAGCCCCAGTCGGAATCTCGACTCCAGTCGAAGGCACAACCTAGGGTTCCGACAGCCCCAGTCGAAGGCACCTAGGATTCCGACAGCCCCAGTCGGAGTCGCGACTCCAGTCAAAGGCACAGGCTCATCTCTCTCTCGGCTAGCTTGGAGCCCTGTGGTCTGTCCTCGATGACATCTCTCTGTCTCTGCACGTAACACCTTCGTCTTCATCTTTCTCTCTATCTTCGTAATATCTGCCTCTCCTTAATCTGTCTTCTAAATAAAATAAAAAAATAAAAAAATAAAAAAAAAACAAAAAAACAAAAAACAGAAACTTCCAAAAAAAAAAAAAAAAAAAAAGTCCTCTTAAATTTTTATTTTAAAATTCATTATTATCTTACCATCTTTCGGGTTTGTGATTCACTCTGGATGTGTTTGTGAGGGTTCTGTCGTGACGTCATTATGGCCGAATTGACTAGTGAGTCTGCTACTTCGCAGCCTGTTACGCAAGGCGCGAGTCCTGTTTTGACCACTTCGATGACCGATTCCCTCCACCCTGGCCAGAAAATCACCACCTCTCTCTTTAATGGTCAGAACTATCTAGCGTGGTCGCAGAGTTTGACTATATTTTTGAAGAGCAAAGGGAATATGGGATATGTTGATGGGCGTGTACAGGCTCCCAGTATCACCGATAGAGGTTATGATCAGTGGGAGATTACCAATTCTCTTATCATGGGTTGGTTGATACACTCTATGATTCCGGAGATTGGTGAGGGATACTTGTCTATGGACACAGCACAGGATATTTGGGAGGCTGTGGCCACTACGTATTCTCGCAAAGGTAATTTCTCGCAGACTTTTGAGTTACGACACTCTATTGACCAGTCTGTTCAGGGTGAGATGACTATTCTCCAGTATTTTACTTTCCTTAGCAATGGGTGGAAGCGACTTGATCATCTTCAAGACTACAAGCCTGTCTGCCCCACAGATTCTGCTGGTTATCGGAAATTTGTTGAACAAGTGCGGGTCTTCAAGTTTTTGGAAGGTTTGAATGTGGAGTTTGATCCTGTTCGGAGTCGTGTGCTTGGTATGGATGCTCTTCCTTCTCTCCAAGAAGCGTTTGCTTATGTGCAGAATGAGGAGAGTCGTCGTTCTGCTATGCTTCTGGCTGCCTCTTTTGATCGATCTGCCTTAGTTTCTGCCCCTTCTCGAGATGGAGATCGTGGTTCTCGCCCTCCTTCTGAGAAGGATACACTCTTCTGTGATTTTTGTCGTCGCCCTCGCCACACCCGTGAGACTTGTTGGAAGTTGCATGGGCAACCATCTGGCGGTCGTGGAGACCGTTCTAGTTCTCGAGGGGGTCGCTCCGGACAGTCTCGAGGCCGTGGGCCCAATGCCCGAGCCCATCATTCTAATACAGTTGAGCCACAGTCCACAGCTCCAGTTGATTCATCTGCTGATATCTCGGGGTTTTCTACTTCTGAGTTGGAGGTTGCTCTTCGCCACTTGCTAGACCGTCGGGCCTCTAGTTCATCTTCAGGTAATATTGCCCAGTCAGGTAACTTAGCTTCTTCTACAAGTGCTTTTCTCTCTCATCAAACATTACCTTGGATTATCGATTCTGGTGCTTCCGACCACATGTCTGGTTCTTCTGATTTGTTCTCTGCATATACCCCTTCTTCAGGGCAGGATAAAGTTCGCATTGCTGATGGTACCATTTCTTCTATGTCTGGGAAAGGTTTAATTCATGCCACTGCTTCTCTCCCTTTATCTTCTGTCCTACATGTTCCCAATTTTAGTGTTAATCTTTTGTCTTTGAGTCGTATTACACGGGACTTAAATTGTAGTGTGACGTTTTTTCCTGACCATTGTCTGTTTCAGGACCTTATCACGAGGAAGATGATTGGCAGTGGTAGACACGAGAATGGTCTCTATATCTTGGATCAAGCAGACAAGCTGGCTCACTCATCCATTCAGTCTCCATCTACCAAGGAAGACATCTGGCTGTGGCATCGCCGTCTTGGGCATCCATCTTTTTTGTTACTTAAGCATCTTTTTCCCTCTGTTTTTTTGAAACATAATGTTTCTGAGTTTCATTGTGAGTCGTGTCAACTTGGCAAACAACACAGAGCTTCTTTTGCTCCTTCTATTAATAAAAGTTTAGTTCCTTTTTCTTTGATTCATTCTGATGTATGGGGTCCCTCTCGTTTTGTGTCTTTAAAGGGTCAACGATGGTTTGTCACCTTTATTGATGATTGTTCTAGGACTACCTGGGTGTATCTTATGAAGGACAAATGTGAGGTGTTTTCTGTATTTCAAAATTTTCATAAAATGCTTTGCACTCAATTTGGGGCAGTTGTCAAAATTCTGCGTTCTGATAATGGGGGGGAATACATTGATTCTGGACTTGCCAGCTATTTTGCCACTCATGGTATTATTCATCAAACTTCTTGTACCAATACCCCTCAACATAATGGTGTTGCCGAGCGTAAAAATCGGCATCTTCTTGATATTGCGCATTGTTTATCCTTTGAAATGTGCGTTCCTCGATCCTATTGGGGGGAAGCGGTTCTCACTGCTGCGTTCCTCATCAATCGGCTTCCTACCCAAGTTCTTCTTAAACAAACTCCTCTTCATGTTTTGTTTGGCTTCCAAGCTTCTGCTGCCTTCTCCATTCCTCCCAAAACCTTTGGGTGTGTGTGCTTTGTTCATAATCATTCTCCTACCCGTAGTAAGTTGGATCCTCGGTCTCTTCGGTGTGTCTTCTTGGGTTACTCCGCCACTCAAAAGGGCTACAAGTGTTATCATCCCCCCTCTCACAAATGGTTTGTTTCTATGGATGTGTCTTTCTTTGAATCCCAGTCGTATTTTCTCTCATCCCCGGTGTCCCCGTCATCTCTTCAGGGGGAGCCTTGGTGTGAAGAGACTCCTGTATCACTACCATCACCATCAGTTATTGCGCCTCCTGAGACTCCTGTATCACTACCACTACCATCACCATCAGTTATTGCGGCTCCTGAGACTATTATTACTGATGATCCAACTATTGAGAATGCTGACTTTCCATCTGCAGTGAAAGACGGCAAAGTGTATGCCAGGGACAAGGGTAGACAGAAAGTTACTTAGGTACAAGAGACCAATTCAGATTCTCCACTGCTATCTTCTTCTTCTGATGAGTGTCCAAAATCCTCTCCTTCTGGTCCAGGTAACTCAATTATTTCTGATCTAGATATTCCCATTGCTAAAAGGAAGGGGGTTAGGTCGTGTACTCAACATCCTATTTCTCATTTTGTCTCTTACACTAATCTGTCTTCTTCCTATAAAGTTTTTTTGTCTAAAGTTTCTTCTGTGAGTCTTCCTTCCAATTTTCAAGATGCTCTTTCTACTCCTGAGTGGAAGCATGCCATGATGGAGGAGATGAGAGCGCTTGCTAAAAATGGCACTTGGGAATTGGCTGCGTTACCTAAGGGCAAATGACCTGTTGGATGTAAGTGGGTGTACACTGTAAAGCACAAAGCCGATGGTTCAATTGAACGTTACAAAGCTAGATTGGTGGCCAAGGGTTTTACTCAGACTTATGGAGTAGACTACCAGGAGACATTTGCACCGGTTGCTAAGATGAATTCTGTCAGAGTCATTTTCTCCCTTGCCTCTAATCTTGACTGGCCTCTCCATCAATTTGATGTAAAAAATGCTTTCCTCCATGGAGATCTGGCAGAAGAAGTGTACATGGACATTCCCCCTGGCTTTGAGGATGTTAAAACCACAGGAAAGGTGTACCGGTTACGCAAGTCACTTTATGGCCTTAAGCAGTCTCCTAGGGCTTGGTTTGAGAGGTTTACTCAAGCCATGCTGAGATATGGTTTCAAACAAAGTCAAGCAGATCATACTTTGTTTGTGAAACACTCCTCACATGGTAAAACGACAGCCCTCATTGTCTATGTGGATGATATTGTACTCACAGGGGATGATGTTGAGGAGGTTCCTCGATTAAAGGAGTATTTGGCTAATGAGTTTGAAATCAAAGACTTAGGCAAATTGAAGTACTTTCTAGGCATTGAGGTTGCTCGGTCCAAAGATGGTATCTTCATATGTCAACGAAAGTATGTGCTTGATTTGCTAAAAGAAACTGGAATGCTTGGAAGTAAAGCATGTGATACACCACTAGAACCCGGCCTAAAGCTTAGTGCGGATGAAGGAGGCGAGCCCGTAGACAGGGGGAGATACCAGAGACTAGTGGGTAAGCTTATTTACTTATCCCATTCGCGGCCTGATATTGCTATTGCAGTTAGTATGGTTAGTCAGTTTATGCATGCTCCACGTGCAACTCACTTAGAGGCGGTTATGCGGATTCTGAGATACTTGAAATCTTCTCCGGGTAAGGGTCTTTATTTCTCAAAGCATAGTCATCTCAATGTGGAGGCATATACAGATGCTGATTGGGCTGGCTCAGTAACTGATAGAAGATCCACCTCTGGCTATTGTACCTTCGTTGGCGGAAATCTAGTTACTTGGAGAAGCAAGAAACAAAATGTTGTTGCGCGGTCTAGTGCAGAGGCCGAATTCAGAGTCATATGGCAGACTATCTGCCTTAGTGACTTTGGAAAAAGGATAGAACATCTTGGGAGCTTCACTTTGAACTCACAGATTCTATGAGGCTATACTGTGACAATAAGGCCGCCATTAATATAGCCCATAATCCGGTTCAGCATGATCGGACCAAGCATGTGGAGATTGATCGGCATTTTATCAAGGAAAAGCTTACTAGTGGCATTATATGTATGCCTTTCGTGCGGTCTGGGGATCAATTGGCTGATGTTCTTACCAAAGGATTAGGGATTAAACCGTTCTGTGACATTCTCGACAAGCTGGGCATGAGAGATATCTTTGCACCAACTTGAGGGGGAGTGTTAGAAGTGTTAGGATTTTTCCCATTTTATTCTCATTCAGTCTGTGATGGGCCTTTATTTAGGCCTTAACTTATATTTATGATTTAATATAAAAGGGTATGATTAACCACTCATACCCTAACCTTTTTTTCTCTTCTAAAATTAACACTACCTTCCAACAGGTGAACAATTAGCTGATGTGCTAACGAAAGGACTACACAAGAAGCAATTTGATAAGCTGACTAGCAAGCTGGCTATGGAAGATATCTTCAAACCAGCTTGAGGGGGAGTGCTGGAAATTTGTGTTAATGTATATAATAAGATAGTGGCATGTATAGAATATGATAGTGGTGTTGGTGGTAGATAGTGGCATGTATAGAATATGATAGTGGTGTTGGTGGTAGATAGTGGCATGTCTATAATATGATAGTGGTAGATAGTGGTAATATATAATATGTAAGTGGTATATAATGGGTTATAATGATGTTTGTAATATCTCCTATATAAGGAGTGTCATTTGGTCTTGTAAGATAAGAAGTTTTGAATATAACAGAAATATATTCCTTCTTCCTCATATTTTCGGAGTTCTTCTTCCTCATATTTTCTAAGTTTAAGATATGAAAAAATTATTACAAAACTCAAAAACGTAAAAAACTGACCTGGTTGAAAAATTATAATTAATTACTTTACTTTTTGCTTCTTTTTTCTTTTGTCATATCCAGAACTATATTCTCTAGGCTTTTTTCTTTTTTCGTATCTACAACCACAATTTCTAAGAGGCGGGATTACATAAATTAGATTAGAGTGTTCTGGGTTGTGGACCAGTGGTCAGACTAACAATAATCAGTTGTGTTACATGGACTCATATACGGGGTGTCAGGTGCGTATCCAAAGTCTGATCTATCAAACCTTAAATTTAAGGATATGCAAACTCAACCAAAAATGATTCTATTCTATGTTTTTAATCTATCTTGTTATAAAATGGCATTATATGTAACATACAATGTCAAGAAGACCTTTTACTCATTTTATAGCAATTATACCACAATATATAGTATTGAATACAAATATATAAGAAGTGTCCAATGGAAGGGATTGGACACATAGCCCATAACCTTGTCCAAGTGCTGAGTGTCTTAACATGGATATTTGATATATTTTGAAGAGTCCGTGTAACATTGGTAATCAGTAATTCAAGAATGTGCAGAGTGAAGTTGTGTTTGTGTTGTTTCCATTCAAAAATCAATATTGAACCTGCATGAATCAAAAACTAAGCAAAAAATAAAATTTGGTTCATGTCGCTATGATTTTACAAATCAAACACCATTGTTCATAGCACTCTGATTTTTCTAGCAAAAGAGTAAAAAATTATATTCAACCTATCCAATTACTTATAAAAGACAAAAAAACCAATAATCAGACATTAAATAGAATTGGGCATCCCGATTTGGTTAAACCCACTGTAATAAATCCATGTAAATACAAATACTGCTAGATTAAGCAAAACCCTCAAATAAAAAAAGATCGATTGAATCAATAATACCAATTAGGGCACAGAGAAAGAAAACTCACTGGACAAGGAAGATCGCAGTCGTTGTTCACTGATCACTCCAGTATTTGGCCATTCGTGGTAATGGAATTGGAGATTCAGGGAATGGGGAAACTGGAAAGACAATGGGAGATTAATAAACCAAACGATTCAAAGCCTTGTTTTTTCTCAACGATTTGAGGAACAAGGAAGAGAGATCTGGTAAAGCTATGAATTGAAGCTTTTTTATTTATTTATTTATTTTGGTGAGAAGCTATGAATTGAAGTCACAGACCCTTTCAGACAGTTCGATGCATAACCCGGTTCTTTTGGCGCTAAGATCCTCTAGAGCGTAAATCCTAGAGTGGTCACTGGCTAAGATTAAGCCACACCAAAACGACGTCGTTTTGGTGGGTATTTTTGAAAAAGGCAAAAACAGATTGAAGCGCAGTCAGTCTGATAACACATACATACACAGTGAGTGAGAGAGAGAGAGTCTCAGATTGAAGCTGTGGCTGAGATTGTGAAACCATATTGCATTATCACCAAGTAGAAGAATCATATACACAGATTCAAATGGATATTCCATTCCGATTCGGAAGCTTTTTAACACCTCACAATTTATGGTCTACTTTTTCAAGGATTCAAAAACCTCTCATCAAACGCTGTTGTTCTTCAAGGAGGGACTCCCTACAAAACGACGACGACGACAACAACAACAGAGGTGGGTCTTCTTCACCGTCATCAATTTTGCAATCTAGTCATTGTTTATATTTTTTTGGAGTAGTTTTGATTTTTGAATCTGTATAGATTTTGAAGAAAACCCAGATGGGTTGTGGCTGAAATTCCAACAGAACCACAATGTCTTGACAAAGGAAAGCAAACATTGCATTCAAAGCGATAGAGAAAATATTCTGAGGGTAGAGATTATGAACTCACCAGCTTCACCAAGATTTTCTTGATCGATTCAGCATCTCTCTCTCTCTCCTTCGCTATTTCTTGATCGATTCAGATCTTTGGGTATGTTTGGTTTGTGTTTGAGAGATGTGTTTTAGAGATAAAAAGTACGAAAAGTTGTGTGGTTTGGTTTTTTTCAAAAGATGTTTTGGAAAATTATTTTGAGAGAGAGTTTTGGAAAAAGTGATTGATTTGATGTGTGTGAGAGAGAGATTTGTTTGGAAAACTTGTTTGGTTTAAAAGTTATGAGAAATTTTTTTGAAAAAATTTGTTTGGTTTGATTACTTTTAAAAACTTATTTGTAGAGAAAATTTTCCAAAATTTTTTCAGAAATACAAACCAAACGAACCCTTTGTCTTTTCTTTTTTTTTTTCCTTTTTTTTTTGTGTGTTTTTTATTTTCAAATTACTCACCAAAACGATGCCATTTTGATGAAGCTTAATATTCACCCTTGCATGCATCACTCTAGGATTTAACTCAGGAGGAGTTTCCCAATTTGATAAATGCTGGGTCGACCCGTAGTCTTTTTGGTTAAATTAATACAATCGTGCTAGAGACCTTGAAATTTTGAGGCTTGAATGACTTGAAATGTGTTTTTTTTTGGAAAGGTAATTATGTATAGGAATGTATTAAAAAATTAGATATTATGTATCAATTCAGTCCTGTGTGATTTGATAAGATGGGTGGGTCAGTTGAATTGGACTGATTTGATAATAAAATTGACTGATCAGTTCAACTGCTGCTAGTTAAAATTTCCTTTGAATCTTCTTGATTTGAAATAAAAATATAATATGAACTCGTACGACACTGTATGAAATTAACAAATTTTAACTAACAGCCTAACTAATCAGTTAATTTTATCACCCTATCAAACCACACAAATTGAATTAATGCGGAATGTTTAGTCTTTTAGCACACTCTTACACATAACTGCCCTTACCAAAAAAAAAAAAAAAAAATAAAAGAAAAACCAACATAGCCAAAAAGGGGGGGCAAAATTGG